ATTTTTTTAAGCACATTTGTACATTTATTGCCCTCATCCTTCTCAAAACATTTGCTTTCTACTTTAACCCTTGGTATCAGCTCCTTTGTCCCCTCCCTCCCGGAACCCCTTCCCTCATGAACCCTTGATAATTTATAAATTATTACTTTGTCATGTCTTACACTGTCCAACATCTCCCCTCACCCACTTTTCTGTTGTCCGTTCCCCAGGGAGGGGGTTATATGAGGAGCTAATCCAGATATCATACCATTCCATGGTTCAATCACATGGAACAGTATTTGTATAGCTGCTACCCAAATCAGTTTCAAAACATTTTCTTCTTGAACTCCTTATCAGCTCCCCTTTACCCGCCCCCACCATCGCCCCATAGAAGAGAGCCCTGTCATCTTCTGCCAAATTGGATATTTCCATTTAAAAACAAACTTTATGTTATATGCCTAACACGGCATTTCCTTGTTCTTTTGATTCTTGCTTTGCTGTTATGTGCGACTGAGTCGGTTCTAACTCAAAGCTACCCGACGCACGACAGAACGAAGCGCTGCCAGACCCGGCACCATCCTCCTAGGTCCTCGGCTTGAGAGTACTGCCGCACCACTCTGTCAGCCCGTCTTGCTGAGGGTCTGCATCTTTTTCACGGACCCTGGACCAAGAATGATGTTCTTTTCTAGGGACTTGTCTCTCCTGATAACATTAAGTCACAGTACGGCTAATTATTAATATCTTAGCCACTCATATTTCTTTTTCTAAAAATTATCCATCTTCTTGGTATTGATTAGTTCATATATGATTGGTTTATAAAATCCCTAATATTGAAGATATTAATTTGTGCAAAACTTTCCCTAGGTCATTTGCCTTTTCATTTTTAAAAAGGATTTTAAGTTGTTTGTTGTCGTATCATCTGTGCTATTACTTGGTAAGGATTGTAAAACTTTATTTAACTAAACCCATATTTTTCCTTTACAATGTTTGTTGTTCCTAGAATGCATTACTCCACCAAGAAGCTAGCGATAGGTCCTTCGGTCGTTATGTGGTGGGGGTGTCAGTGGTGGTTTGGGTTTATAAACTTTAGTCTTTCTAGAATCTCCCATGTTTGTGTTAAAGAAACATTTCAGCAACATTTGTTGGACAACTCTCTTTCTGTTAATATTTCTAGTGATACGTTAAGCATGTTACTAAGTTCTTACATACCTGGGACCAATTCCTGGACTATTCTTATTAGAACATCAGTAACAACATCAGTAACAAACTGCCTTACTGTAGGTTTTAAATATAATAGACATTTTAACGAGAAGATTCAATCGAGGCAAGCTTTCTCTTTATCAAGTTCAGCCTTTTGATGCCATTTAGAATCCGTCACATATCTCCCCCAAATCCCCCGTGCCTTTGTTACAAATAGCACTCTTCATCAATTGACAAAAATAACAGGAAGCATCTTCTTTAATATTCTGCCAATCCAGGAACATTTCGTGTTACATTACCATCTGACACAAGGAACATTTGATGGTATCAAATCTCATGTGACTTCCTTCATCAAGATCTTGCAATCTGGTTTGCTCTCATTCTCAAACCCCTTTTCCCCACTCCAGGTCCCCCAATCACAGCTCATCCTCTGGTGTTAAGGACCACTTCCCCAGGGGCCTCTAGAAAATTTTACTGTAACTCTCCTAGAATCCTCTTAGCCCTCCTTACCCATTGACCATCTGTAGCCACATAGGAGGGGGTACCCCACGCCCCCAACAAAAACAAACAAACAGAATTGCGCTGAGCAGAGCTTTCATAGTACACATTTTTCCCACTAGATGAGCATCAAGCAACTTGCTCCGAGTTAGTGCACCCAGTGGCATCATCTGGGAAGGTTCTCTCTCCTCGGTGAATTTTTTCATAAGACCAGTTTTGCTCGAACTTTGTTTTTTGTGATGTCCGATTTAAGAGAACGTTGTGCAGCTGTGAAATGTTGTTCCCTGCTCAGAGAGAAGATGCCACAGAAACTGTTGCGATGTTGAACAGTTACAAGGACAACGTTATGAGAAAAACTCAAGTGTACCAGTGGTTTTCTTGTTTCAAAAAAAGTGAAATATTGATGAAAAACCTCATTCTGGACATCCATCAGCTTCCTGGAGGAAAATGTCGACTCATAGTGCATTTGGAGTTCCTTCCACCAGGTCAGGCTGTTAATCAAGCTTTCTATTTAGAGGTTCTGAAAAGATTACCTAACAGTGTATAACAAAAAAAAAGGCCTGATTTGTGGCAGATGGGGGACTGGTCTTGCCACAATGCACCTGCTCATACAGCTATCTCAGTGTGCCAGTTTTTGGCCAAAACAGCATGCCTCTTTTGCTCCATGCAACTTACTCACCTGAGCTCACTCCATAGGACTTCTGTTTCCAAAAATTAAGAGGGACATGAAAGGACAGCAATTTGACGATGTAGACATTAAAGAAAAAAACATGGGAGGTGCTGTCAACTACCCAAGTTTGGAGTGTTCCATTCCAGGAATGGAATCGCAGATTTGACAGATGTACTAAGTATAATGGAGAGTACTTTGAAGGTGATAAGGTTTTGTTTAAAAAAATTGTTTTAAAATACATAGCTTTGGGGGAAAAAATCTGTTTGGGGGGTATCCCCTCATACATCTTTAGAAGATTTACTCAATTTCTGTACTTCCCCTCTTCCCTACCCCCAGGAAAATTCCATGACAGGATGGATTGTGTTACTTACCGTCCTTCAATCCGTGCTGTGTCATCAATGAGTGAATAGTTGTGTAGTTGCTACCAGAATTGGGGCACTGATTACTCATCTTTAGGACCTATATTGGAAAGCTCCTAATCTTTGTTTTGTTTCCCATTTTACTGGTCATCATCAGGCATCTTGCTATGCACTCACCTACCAGCTTTCAGGGATTCTGAGTTAGGTGGCCACTCATCACAGGTCATCTCCAGCGCTCCTGAAGATGCTGAAGGGCTGGGCCTCTGGTACAGGGAGAAGCATGTGTCCTTCCAGCTCCTCCAGCCTCCCTCTTGACTTGGCCTCACTCACCCATGGGGACGTGAGGTATCAGAGCATCCCTTTCCTCCCCACCACCACAGCCCTAGAGACAGGGGTACCCAGTCACCTGCTGAACAAATCTTCAGGGTGGGAGAGGGGCTTGAGCTACGGCAGCATCACTCACTACTACTTTTTTAAAAGGTGCCACATGTGGTATAGAGCCACTGCTAGACACCCAACTCTAGGGTAGGGGGCATAGCAATCATGCCCCAGGGACCCCATGTAGATGTGAAACCCACACAGAGCACGATCTGCTTGGTTAGCCTCTCTCAACATAAGCAACTTGGATCCCTGTCCTAGTTCCTAATGCACGGTCAGATTTAGTAAAGAACAAACAGACTAATGTTCCTGGAGGCCTGTTTTGTTCCAGCCCTGGTGGTATAGTGGTTACGCATTGGGCTGCTAACCACAAGGTAAGCAGTTTGAAACCACCAGCTGCTCCGCAGGAAAAAGTGGAAGCTTTCTACTCCCGTAAAGTGCCAGTCTCGGAAACCCACATGGCAGTTCTACCCTGTCCCAAAGGGTCGCTATGAATTGGCATCGACTCAATGGCAGCGAGATTTTGAGTTTGTGCACTGGCTTGAAATACAAGTCATCAGAAAATAGTTTTGTTACGGCCTTCCAGGGGTTGGGGCTTTTCAATTTAGGAATCAGTACTGAATTTTATTATTAAACTTTCTCCTTTTAATATTATCAGTACCAAAACAATACCTAGAGAGGTCCAATATATTAAAACAACAACAAAATGAAGAAACAAAACAACTATTTGTGGATGGTATACTTTTATACTCATTACAAATTAATTAAACCAAGATATTATCAAAAATTAGTAATATTCACTGAGGTGGCTGATTACACAAATTTATAATTAAAAATACCTTTGCTGTGCAAAAGGAATGACCAACTAGAAAAATATGATAAAAAAATTAACAATCACACAACTGTGCAAAAAAATTACATAAAAAACAGAAGAAATGTTTACTCAGGAATACAACACTCTAATAAAGGGAAAGGCATGTTTTAGATGGGGCACAAAATTTGTGAGGGGAACAATTTTTCCCAAATGACTTGTAAGATTAGCCCAATTCCGAAAAACACTCAATGTAAAACTTTGGGAAACATGAAAAAAAAAAAATAAGCAAAACTGATAGAAGAATGCCTCAAACCACACTGCTGAGTTGGTTGGTCCTGTGACTGCGTCACTAGCCTTGCCTCTGAGAGTCTGCCTACCAGGACACCAGAAGCAATAGCAAACCGTCAATTGCACTAAGGACACATGGAATCCTGTCTCATGAAGACATCACTAGAGATGTAGTTTCTAACACTGCCTTGTGAGGTAGCAACCAGACCATGGCCAAGAGCCTGGTGACTGTATAGAGAGGGAAGATTAAGCATAATTAAAGTTCTTCATCAGCCAAAGATCCAAGTCAACTTCTTATCTCCAGGTCTGTCCTTCATGCTGTTGGGGTTATCTTAACAGGTAAGATCTTGGCTCAGCAGGGGGACAACATTCTGAAGAGTTTTTCAGGTAGTAGGTAGGTCCGCCTGGCTGGACCTGAATGATCCTATTTCTGTCTGTCTGGAAGAGGCATTGCTCAGAATTAAAACAGCTACTTAAGGGATTACTAGCCAAACAAAATACAGTAAAAACAGGAGACACCTCCAAGGACTCTGTAAAACAGTCCATTTTCATCACAAATTGCAAATGGAGCAATTCTTTGATATTCATTGCTACAGTTTGTAGTTTTTGCTTTTAATCCAAAGTTAAAAAAAAAAAAAAAATCCCTGTCAACACCCCAAGCTTTACCAAACTGTCCTTAGAGAGGGATACGAATTATTGTTGCCTTACCAAATCCGTAGTTTGGTGCTTTCAGGGGAATTTAGTGCCAGATAGAAGCTTTTACATTATTTCTATTCCCCCCCGCCCCCCGCCCCAAATATAGGTCCCCCTGGGTACATGTTTAGTAGAGATGATTCATTCCGTTCATCTTGTAGCGAAGCAGCCTCTAGACACAGGTCAAAAACTTCCTTAAAAAATGGATCTGTACCTTGTTGTACACTTTCAAAAAAGAAAGTTCCTTAGTCCAAAAACCCTGGCTGCTAATTTGAGGTATAGCCCTTCAAAATATCTTCCCTGTGAATTTTCTAAGAATTTGAGGTTTCAGCCAAGATAGGTATTGACCCAATTTTGGCTATCATGAGGTTTAACGTATCTCTGTCTTTTCAGACCCTGTAGGATTTCAGAAATTTTAGGTTGAAGCAGGACCCTTAGCTCAATCCCACTTCTGCTTTCGGTTTTTACATACCGAATGGGTTTTCTCATGCCGGGTACAGTTTGACAGCCGACCAAATCTTCTCCCACATTTTTTGCAACTATATGGCCTCTCAGCCTCATGACTCTGTAGATGAAGCACAAATTCTTCATTCCCTGAGAAGGGTTTCCCACATTCTGGACACTTAAATATCTTCTCTCTTACGTGGATTCCTTCATGGCGGCTCCGGTGAGAATTTTGACGAAAGTTTTTCCCACACTGAGAACATGAGTAAGGTTTCTCCCCAGTGTGGATTCGTTCGTGTTTATTAAGGTTTGTTTTATGGTTGAAGCTTTTCCCACAGTGACTACAGTCATAGGGTTTTTCCCCAGTGTGAGTCCTCTGATGAGAAATAAGGTAAGAACTTTCATTAAACTGTTTCCCACACAGTGGACAAGTGTACAATCTCCTCGTCCTCCGGTTTCGGGTAAGCGCAATAACACTGAGGTCCACGAATTTGGAGAGTTCCTCCAGTGGAGTATCATTTTCAATGGTAACTGAAAGATCTCTCAATTTCCTTTCATGTGGAATGGATGTATTCAGTCTTTCTCCTTTGTGGCAATCGGGAGGTCGTTCAGAGACCACGAAGCAATCTATTTCATCACATTCTGAAGATGCTTCTCTATGATCTACATTCTCTAAACGTTCCTTCTGCTCACCATCATCCTCATGATTATCATTAACTGTTGAAACAGAGAGAATTTAAAAACTTTTGAGGGATATGAAAATACCAAGCAAAAAGAAACCAAGTTATTATTTTTTGTGAAAGAATAATCTTGAAAGTCAGAAATCGGAGGACTGGGGGGTCATCGCCATCCAGGTTCCTCTCCACTCTGGATCCAAGGAGGGTGGGTGACAGGCCTGGCAAATCTCTCCTGCCCATCAATGCAAGCACATGGTCCATCTGATCTCTGTCTTTTTTAAAGTAAACTGATGGGAGTGCACTGGAAGACTTTGACTCTGGGCAGATACTCAGGAGGTCTGGATAGCAAGATGTCAATGACTATCACAAGTATCTGGACAAGTACTCTGAATCCAACCTACGAGGTTGCCATCAAGTTAATTCTGACTTAGGGAGGTCACATGTTTCCGAGGAGAACTGTGCTCCATAGGGTTTTCAATAGCTGTGACTTTAAAAAATAGATCACAAAGTCTCTCTTCCAAGGCACCTCTGGGTGGAAATGAAATGCCAACCTTCAGTTAGTAGCTGAACAGGTACCGATGATTCTTTCAACAAGTTCACACTTACCACACTAGGGACTTGGGGGCAAAGGGCATAAATATAAATGGAAACATTGATAACCTTTAGGACCCTAGTAAGGAAATGGTAAATTGACTACTTTCAAGTGTTGTACTATATTATAAAACTATCATATTGTAGCATGAGAAAGAATGGCTATATACTTGTATATAATGAAAAACTTTTAACAATTCAAATAACACAAAAAAAAAGAACATGGCTTACTTATATAATAGGTTGCTATTTGGTCATTAAAGAGATTAATACAATAAATAAAATAGTTCTGCTATCAGAAGTCAGAATAGTTATTATTGGGAAAGAAGGGGAGCAGTGACGGGAGGCTGGGAATAAGGAGGATTTCTAGGGTGCTGGTAATAGTCAATATTGGGTGGAATGTACATGTGTACGTTTTGTGAAAATTTGAGCTAATATACTCATGATCTGTACATCCTCTGTATTTATCATAGTCCAATTAAAAACCTATATGTAACTTTCCTCTAGTTCTTTAATGCCGCCCCCCCACTATCATGACCCCAATTCTACCTTATAAATCTGGCTAGATCAGAGCATGTACACTGGTACAGACAAGAGCTCGCAACAGAGAGAATCTAGGACAGAATAAACCCCTCAGGACCACTAATGAGAGTATCAATACCAGGAGGGGAAGAGGAAGATGGGGGAGAAAGGGGAACCAATCACAATGATCAACATGTAACCCCCTCCCCAGGGGACATAAACCAGAAAAGTGGGTGAAGAGAGACAGCGGTGAGTGTAAGACACGAAAAAAATATTAATTTATAAATTATCAAGGGTTCATGAGGGAAGGAAGGGGAGAAGGGAGGACAATGAGCTGATACCAAGGGTTCAAGCAGAAAGAAAATGTTTTGAAAATGATGATGGCAACATATGTACAAATATGCTTGACACAATGGACATATGTATGGATTGTGCGAAGAGCTGTAAAAGTCCCCAATAAAATGATTTCTTTAAATCTATGTGTAAAGGAAGAATAGAAAAACTAGGCAACAAAGTGAAAAATACTGTCAACATGTAGGTTGACAGGGGTTCCTAACGATGACAAACTAAGTAAACACAAAACAGTGGTTGTGCACACAATTCTGACTCATGACAACCCCATGTGTGCCAGAACAGAATTTTCATAAGGCTTTCAATGACCTTTTTTTCAGAAGCAGATCATCAGGTTAGCAGCTGTTATGGTAAGCATGTTAACAGTTTCCACTACCCAGGAACTCCTTGCGAATAAAGGGTTGAATCAACCATTTAAAACAGATAGGAACTGGAAATAGAGGGAATCCAGGGCGGATGATCCCTACACAACCAGTGGTGTGAGTGGTGATACTGGGAAGGTAGAGGGAGAGTGGGTAGGAAAGAGGGAACCGATTACAAGGAACTATATGTGACCTCCTCCCTGGGGGACGGACAAC